TTCTTTGTTATTTTAATAGCTTGAAAGTACTTATTTCTAGTAATTCGATATTCTTCCTTAAAGCTATAATTCTCCAGATCTGATTCAATTCTTTACTTTGCTTTTCTTAACTCTTTTCGGAGATCTTTCAATTCAGGTGTTCATTATAGTTTAATCCTTTTGATTGAAACAATTTTAGGTATACATTTTTCTATTGCTTTTTGAATAATCCTAATAAGTTCGCTTGCTACTTAATCTAGAATTAAATAATAATTATCTTTATTTTTCAAAAGATTTAAGGAATTCTTTTTAGTTAGAAGGATTAATTCTAAATTTGATAGAATAAGGGAATATAAGGATTCCGATTTGAGTATTGATTCGAACTTTTTCCAATTCGCTAGCTTAGTATTATATCTAGCTATCGATTTAGTATTAGAATACTTAAATCTTCTTTTCCTTTTAATTCGAATAATATTCCTGTATAATCAGATCCTGTATCTGAAAGTGTTTATTAATTGTGAATTTGAGAAGAGATTCCCTTTGATACTAATATTAGATTAAGAATATTTGAATTAAGGAGATTAGTTTGATAGAAAGTACTAATTCCGGGTTTATTTAAAAGAATAAGATTCTGATTTTTAAACTATTTAGCTAATTGATTAGCATTTCTGCTTTTCTTTAAAAAAGGATCTCATTATGAATGATGGATATTGAAGTTATCTAAAAGGATAGTTTCTTATATAATAAATATATTATATAAGTATCTTTTGATTATGAAACCTTTCTTTTTAGCTTGATTAGTTTTATTATATATATTGATGATTTGAAAGGTTTTGTTTTCATTTTGATAATTGAAAATCTATATATCAGAATTTATTGAAGAATTGGAAGCTAGATTGATTATAGTTTAAAGAGTTTTTGATATATATAATAGTATATATAATTGGTAATTAGAATTGAGTCTTAGTAATATTTATATGAAATTGGAGTATATAATAGATCTTGAATTTGAGTAATCGATTTTGTTTTTAATAATTCAAGGTTTTTGAATTATAATAAGATTGATATTAAGTTCTATTGTAAGCTATAGAACATTCTCTGTAGCTTGTAAACTCCGATTGAGATTTATTTGAAGGATTTAAATATTAGTATAACTCATTAATGAATAATATTCGATTTTTTATTAAATAATCTAATAGATTTCGCATATTTTCGAATTTGCTACATAATTCCCTTAACAATTCGAGTATTTTACTTTTAAGTATTAATAGAACTTTTCTTTGATATTATATATTATATACAAGTGTACTAATATAATATACTTGCCTCCACATAATCCACAGAAAGGATTCCTTCTACAATAGGTATCCTGATATTCAAATCCTTGATATTTCTGATATTGTATAGTTAGTTTTGATTTATAGAATTGTTTTATTTTTATACTACTTCTAGTAATATATAATCACTTTTGAATAATTAATTCTACTTCTGATTTTGTAGCAAAAGCAATAACAATAGTATTCTTTTGTTAATGGGTTCTTTTAAAGATAGGTATAAGTTAAAAGAGAGTTTCTATAGACTTAAAGTCTAAATTGAAGGTTTTGATTTCATTAAGTATAAAATCTATTCCTTTAGATCTGAGAATTCTGTAATTGGGAGTGTAGAAATAAGAACTTTATACCAGTTCTTAATCCTTTTGAATTCTTTTGATTTAATAATATTATTCCAAATCACTTTTTTTTTCTAATAAGAATTGTAATATAAAGGGATTATTTATTATAATAATAATATTATTATTAAAGGATATAATTATTACTACAATAACTAGCCCTTTGATTTTGATCTTTTGAAAGGTTTTATTTATTTTGTTTTAGATAATTAGAGGGGAAAGGAGATAGGATTTGGAAAATCTGGTTTGATTAAAATAATTCGTTTTTGGATGAGGTTAGATTTCTTTTCTATATTAGTAGATATAATGTTTTTCTCTTTAGAAACTAAATTCCATTTTCCTTTTTTTGAAATATTAGTGTATATTGGTTTTAATATAGTGATAATAGCAGTAGTGGGTGGAAAAGGTTTAGCTAATACTTTTGCTTGTGATTCGATTTTGTGTATAGTGGTTTTTCAAATGAATAATTTGAGAGATGATAATATTCGAAGTTATACTAAGCTTCCCCTTTTCAATATATTCTCTAACGATCTTTAGAAGATCTAAAAGCTTGAATTGTTCTTTATGTAATTAGGAGAAAGAGGAAGCTAGTATTATAAAGTCTTTAGTTTTCAAAATAGCTTCCTTAAATGTATTTGGGTTATTTTGGATTCTAGATTATTTGTTCTGATTGCTAAAAGGTATTGTAGAGCTCCGTTTCTTATTCTGATTGAATATATAGATAGTATTGATTGTATCTTGAGTAATAAAGGGGTCACTAAATAAATTGAATTCTTTCAAATCTTTTTCCAGAACTGGCTGGCTGGTTGGTTGATAGAATAGAGCTAGAGATTTCAAATTAAGGGTTTTCAGAAGGTGGGGGAGGGTTTGAAGATATTGGGGTATTTAGAAACAATAATAGGATAAGTATTTGATATAATAGAGGCTTCAAAAGGAGCCTCTATCATAGTTGTATTTCTAAGTATTGATGGATTATTAGAGAGCTTATATTGAGGATCTAGTTCTTATTCTGGTAATTCGGAGTGAGAAAATTTTATGTGAATTTTCGTGTATGTTTTATGTTCGGAGTGCTGATGATAGTAGTACAACAATTACTGGTTAGAATCACTAGGGGGCAATTGCAATCAATTTGGTTTAATAATTATGATCTAAATCGATTGCGAATGGGTTGTATTTCGAAGAAAAAGTTTCCTTCGAAATTTGTTGTGTGACTTTTTATTATTCAAATTAACAAAAAAATATCCAATTACACTATTTAATTCGGAAATAATTATACCCCAATCTCTTATTAGATAATTGGGAATATAATTCGACCTGAATTTTAAATTCGATCAACATATTAATATTCGAATTATACAAGCAAAAGATACCTTCCATTGAATGACTTGATTAGCTAATATTAAAAAAAGCCTTAATTCTAAAGTTCTTAGATAATTATATATAGTATATATAATTAGTATAGCTTAATTACAAATTAATGATTTAATAAAAAAAATCAAACTCATTTCAAGAATATAATATAATCACTTCAAAACCTAGCTTTTCAAAAAATATTAGAAATCTTCAAAACAGCCCCAATCCTTTTAATAGAAATAGAAATAGGCCTAAAGCCTTTAAAAATTCGATTAGATTCAATATTAGACAATATATATTTCGTTTTAGCTAAATTCTTGTTAAATTATCTAATCAATATTGAAAAAGAAATATCAGCTCAATATCAAATCGATTTGAAAGTAATGCCCTATTTCTTAAAGAAAACGATATAAATCAATTCAACTTCATAGAATTAAAGAATCAATAAATCAGAATCTCAATTCTATTTTATTTGAAAAGATGATTCACTTCAACTTCCCTTTATAAAAAAAGGAAATTCCCTTTAGAATTAATATTAGCAATTCATCAAAAAAAGATATTGTTATTCTTCACAATATCATTTTCAATTATAAAATAAGAATATTATTTATATTTATATTAATACCTCTTCTACTAAAAAAGAAATAGGTATAGGTATAGGTATAATTGCAATATAATTAATAATCGAATTTCATATCAATAATAATTGAATATTGGTAGTAATCAATTAATATATAATAAAAAGCTTTATAGAATTATTAGAGCTATTGAATATATTAGCATAATTATCTATATTAATAACAAATTCAAGATATATTCGGATAACCAAGGCTAATCTATATCGCTTAAAAATACTATTAAACCATTCTAAATAAATCTATCAGATTCGAGTAATCAAAGTAGCAAAAATCATTAAAGCAAAAGGAGCTAAAGTATCTCTAAATTGAATTCCAGAATATATTTTAATAAAAGGAAATAAGCTAGTAAATAAACTAGTAAAGGAAGCAATTATAATATATTCTATTTCAAACGAAACAAGTTTTAGACTTCTAGATATAATAATCAAAGAATACAATTCAGATAATAACTTTCTATTTTCAATTAATACAAATTCAGATCAAATCAATTCCTTTTAATCTATTCAAAGCTATTTCTATAAAAGATAGAATTGAAAATCAAGCTATCAAGCGAAATCAAACGAAATACTGTTAATGTATATTTTCAATTTAAATTAGATTATGAATATATCAAATCTTATTTATATCAATTCAAACTTTTTGATAACAAATATATATATAATAATATTAAGGCTCCACAATACCTTTTTATTAATTGTCTTATATATAAAGCAAAAAGAAAAGAAATATTTAAGAATATACCATTATCTAAAATTACTATATAGTTCCTATTTTATATAAAAGTAGGTATTGAATTAACTATTAAATTTATCAATATTACCAAAATCGCTATAAGAGTATAGTACCTGGTCAGAGCTTTTATATAAAATGAAATAAAGGAAGGAATAATAGTAGAAAAGGAGAGAAAAAAAAGAGAATGAAGAAGAAGTAATTAGAGAAATAAGAGAGAGCTTTGATTTCCTTACAATTTCTTAATTTTTATAATTTTCTTATTATATATAATATGTATAATGAGCGGGCATTGTTTCCCAGCATTTGTTTTTATTTCCCTAAATTATATATATCCATTTGTATAGAATAAAAAGTTATCTGCTAAAGCCTCTAGAAGCCTAGCCGTTCTATATAGTCTTAGATTGAAGATGGACGTAAATGAAATCAATCAATCAATCAAAATCAATCGAAGAAGATTTCTTCCTCGCAAACAGATGATTCATATTACTCTGTGGTTCAAAGTATTCCTTTGGCCAACAAAGTTCCTTCGTCCAATATTCAAGTGGGTTGGTCTTCTTCTCGCCAATACCAATCGCTGTGTCCTCGCAAATTGTATCCCCCGTACAAGTTCGCGGAGTCGATAACCGTAGTCATTTTTCGAAAGGAATGATAGAAGGGGTGGTGGCTTCGTTTTGTGGTCGTTTTCGCTTTAATTGATGATTATCGACCTGCGATAACTTGATATGAGTTAGCTTTATAGTATATCAGAATGAGAATAATATACCTCTATACCAGGAGTATTGCTAACTGGGGAAGGAAATGGTTGCTTCGATTCTGTATTCCTATCTTTGGATACAGGTTGCTCTTGAGGAAGTAACATTTTTTCTAGATGTGCGCTCTTACGGGAGGATGACTGCGGTCTTGATGGTTGCTGCCCAGCCTTTTGCAGATCTCGTTTTACTTTATGTGTGACCATATCGATTGGTAGATTGATGAACAAGTGGATGGAAGACTTGACGTGGTGGATAATGAATGCCCTAGAATTTGGGAAGAAACACGACAGCGCACATCTGAGCTTAGTTGATAGACTTCGTGAGATGGTATTTTGGAATTACAAGGGAAAGGACCGCTGTGAGATCAATTAACGCTAGGCCAAAAGTAGACTAATTGGTATTCAACTATCTGTGCATCTGGTTACCTTGCAAGGGGACTTATCTCGGGGATTAGAAAACAGAGAATTGAATTCTGATAATAATTTTGAGGGAACTATTTAAGAACTAAAAATAAGAGAATGACCGTCTTTTGTGAATGTGGTTAGGCATAGATGTTATCTCTACAAAGTGGATTGCTTGCAATGATATGAACTAAGAAATGTTAGAGTAATTGTGGCTCAATTGCGGGGCAAAATAAGGTAGCGTGAAGTAGAGAAAAATGTATAATGGGGAAAGCGGGGAAGAGAAGCCACATAATACATCAGCCTTATTTTGCCCTTGTAATTAAACCACAATTATTTGAGATTAGTGAGGGTGACAGGAGGCTGAACTGGGAGACTAATACAAAAGTGGGAACAGGACGACAGATGATCGATGTTGCAGAGCTGATCCACTCTGGGAGAAACCATCTTCCTTGACTTTCTATCGATCAGATTTAAAACATTATACAAATTGTCTCCGTGTCTTCACAATGTATCAAACAATTGCTGGCCGAGTTGGTAAAAAGCTATTTTTCCGCCTGTTAAGGATAGCTTAGTCACTACCATCACATTACCAATCGTTGTAAGGCAATGAAAACCCATGGAGAATTACTTTCTTGTGATACAAAAGGGGTGCAGCTGTAAATGGAGAGGGTTAAGAGTGCAAGAGATAATAGTTAATGGTTAGAACCTACATGTGACTTGGGCTGTGCCTTCGTCTAATCACGTGATATTCTATTGCATTCTATACTGTTCTATTCTAGTATTCGCTAGAGTATATTCCCTTTATATATATGTATATGAGGCCTTTCTAATTAGATGATTCTGTATGCATTTCTTAATAGATTTATGTGAACCTATATCTTTGATTTATTCGAGTTTGTCTAGCCTCTCACAGTTACAAAGTATTTAGATGGAAATTTGACGGAAATTTGACTGAGTTAGTTTTGTCTCTTAATTTTCTGTTGGTTTTATAGTGACATTGATTATTAATTGAATATCAAATTATATTTAAAAATATAGCATCCCTTGTTACCGGCAATTTAAACACCTAAGAAATCAAAAATCTTTATCAGAGCCTGTTTATCACCAGCCTTCGTCTCCATCAACTGAGCATCAAGCCATCCATCTGTCCAACTACCCCCAAAATCAACCAAACAGCAATCGTCCGTCTCATGATTAATAAGAACATTCTCTGGCTTCCCATCACCCCACACTACACCAATCTCATGCAGCAACTTAATGTTACGCCTAATCTGTGCCGCCCACTTCCTCCTCCGATCTTTAGCAACGGCTTTGATATCCCGCTGAGACCCACCCAGATTCATTGTATGCGGAATGTACTCTTCCAAAATTCCAATAACTCCCTCATTATCACTTCTATCGACAACAAAACCAATCAATTTAGGAGCCTTGATGGAAGAGGCGTATTTAGATTCCGCAATCTTCTTCAGACATCTGTATTCACGCTGCACCGCCTTGCTATGAGTAGGCACCAGCATCTTGCAGCACATATCCTGACCGTTGATAGAGACTTTCGCGATATACCCAGTACCCATGAGTTTTTTGGTGAATATAATCTCCCGTGCTGAATATCTAGGCAAATTCGATACAACGTTGATGGTGAGATAGGAAGGTACATGTTTTAATCGTAAGGGATATTCCTGTATTACGTCCGCATTTCCTTTATGTAAGATCAGACGAAAATAGAAGGTTTCTGGATTAATAGCAGAGTGTAGAGAGATAGGTGGGTTTGAAGATCCCTTTTCAATTCCAGGCGCCAAGGAAGCAAACTTACGCCATCCGGCTTCATAGATTATATCCTCAATTTCATCTTGGGCCTTCTGTAGATTTTCGTCGTCGTCGTCCTCCAAAAATGCTTTATTGTACTGAGATAACAGCATTGTTATAGTGTCCTTCGGGTTGGGGGTAGGACACACTGTAACGACGAAGCGTTTGCCGTTACACATGATAGTAAAGTCGTGGCGGTGTCCGTCTTCTGCGTCGACTCTTTGAGTGGAGAATCTGAGATTCTTCTCCCACTGAGCTCTATCCTCATCAACTGCCATAGCTTTAAGTCCGGAATTGAATTGAAGACAACTGAGAATGCTTCAAAAGATGTTTGTAATCGGAGTATTAACGAAGGATGATAGACGAGGGGAATACAATAGCCTTGTGCTCATTTGGTTGTTTGCATAATTAAAGTAAGTTAGCTTTCACGTGACTTTTTAAAGCAAACGTCCGTTTGTATTTTTAAAATATCACTTTAATCTGCTAGGCACGCCATATCCAATAGCCAATTGATTTCATGAACGCGTAAATAAAGGGTCCAAACTATACATAGTTTCAAAGCCACATGCTAACAACTAATCGCATCTGTTGATGAAGCGCGAATTAAGTAAAAAAATAGGCCCAGCTAAACCAAGCTTTGTGTCTCGACTTATCTATTTATTCACGATTTACTCGCGCGCGATTTTTTGATCAGTTTCGACCTTCCTCAGCATATGTGGTAGCCAACAGTCAACCACAGATACAAAAGTCTTCCACTCAAGGAATCCTTAACGAGATCTCGAATGGTGTTATCAAACCTGGCGCTAAAGATTGATCCAAGGAGGGAATAGTAAGCCTGACCTCGCCTTGAGGGTTAGGAGAGGTCACTGTTGTTTAAACCCTTTTAAACACTTCCAATTGGAAACTGGTCAAAAGAAGTCTCATGAATAGCGCTTTACATGAAAATTTCTCTAAAATCAACTTCACTGACTACTAGATCACAATATTGAAAAAGTAATCACACGCCTATTTCGTGGGCAGCTCAAAATGTATCCAAACTACTGTTGCCCAGCTTCTTCAATTTCGTCAATCACCTATTGTTCTTCATTAAAACTCCTCTAACACTTTTAAATATCATTCTATCCATCCCACTTCCGAATCATTTCCAGTATCGACCTATCTCGTATCTTTCCTATGTGTCACTCAACTCGGTACATCCATCGCTGTGGGCGGCACAGCTCACGTAATATCGATTACTGTGAAAACTCGACTGTTAACCGGCGTGGACAGAATGTTATGTGCAGTAATGTAACCCGCACCGTCTCGAACCAAACCCAATCTCTTTGCGGGCACGCTGATTGCGCCCATAATGTTTTTGACGGCTACTAGAGTTGCTATTTCTATAATAATGGGCCGAATACGGGGGGAAACTGTTCGCATTTGTATGTGAATGCAAATCACCAGAACGAAGTGTGTGGCCATTGTTGCTGCTGGAATTTTTCACGGTACTAGGGCTCGTAAGGTATGAAGATAGGGTTTGATGAACGCAGTGGACCGATAATAAGTTAACGTTATGATAGATACTGTTTCAGGCCGATATTTGTTCGCCCCTGGTGGGAAGATCGCATCTTTCAGATATATAAAGGAACTTCTTTGCTAAGAAAATGCTAGCTGGCTTGCTTTAGACAGATGATGGATAAATTATGTTCTAAGAATTCTTACTCTGTAATGTCAAGGTTTAAGCCAAGAACAGTTCTCTTGTTATAAACAATAACACGTGACTAAGGAACCTTAGGCTCAGCTCATTATATGTCCTTGCCGCAACTCATTAGATTTTATGAGACCTAGAATCAATAATTTGGGATTCGAGTATGTGGATGAGAGTGATGGTTGGGAAGGGTCTCGAGGAAGGTATTACTGCAGCATATATATTCCGTAAGGATTTAGTGATACCACTGCTACTGGTTCGTTGAGCCTGCTGCTTTTTTTCATCGTCCCGTTTTTGCTTGTCTTTTGTGAGTTGGGGAGAGGGGAACTATATCTTCCAAATGATATTTAAAATGTGCCCAGCGCTGCTTGCACATACGGTGACTTACACATAGTGTAGAGCTTGTCTTTGATACGTAGTATTATTGATATTGTCCTTGTAATCTTTCTCAACGCTATTTATGTAATGTAAAACATCGATAACGAAAATTTGGGATATTAGAGCATTCCATTCCATTCCATCATATCATATCATATCACATCGTACCATTCCCATTTCTCTTCAGATCAAATAAGCACTTGTTATGGCATCTTTGTCGCTCATAAACTCACGAACCCCAGATCATCATGAGTAAAAGTTGGTTATATCCGATTATTCCACATCGTTTCTCCCTTTATCGCAATCCCCCCCTTGGCTAGCTAATTCTCAATCATCCTCCCCACCATCTTCTCAATACCATTTTTAGCTCCCTTCTGCACAGTTGTAAATTTCATGGCCCCACAACTCTCACTCTCTACATGTTGTACCAATCCACTCAACAACCTGAATTCAATCCCGCATCTCGGGCCCGGACATCTATACATCTTTTGCTCATGAACAGAGCTGCTCAAATGTTGATTCAATGCACGAAGTGTAGTGGATTGCTTGCTGCACAGAAAACATTCATAGAAGTGTCCATTCCAGGAGCTTTCGGTAGCTATATTAGGCGAGGATGAGGGGGAGGTATAATACTCGATTTGAGGAGTGGTGATTATGTGGTTGCGATCCAAACTTCGAATTTCAGCATTTATTTTTTGCCGGTTCATACCAGAGGTACAAGTGCCGGATTCGAGGTGGATGATAAGTGCTGAGGCGGTGGGGTAATGGGTAGGGCAAAAGGGACACTTGATCGAGCAGCCCATATGGACTTTGGAATGTTGATGCTGAGAACATTAGATTTTATTCTCGGGCTCAATACTTTTGAATGCTGGAGTTTTGGAGGAAATCTAGTGCCCTTAGTGATAGATTACTTACCTGCCTTAAATTATTCGCGTTTATAAACATGCGTTTGCAAGGTGTACAATAACGATCATCGTGATCGGAAGTATGATGATTTTCGCGAGCGTCTTCAGACCAGAAACATTCATAACAGCCATAGCACTCGAATTCGGGTTCTCCGTTGCTGGAAGAATATTCATCGTAAGATGATTCCTCGTTGCGATGCGCAGAGCTATTCTCAACGTGTTGGTTGTAGCTTCTTTCGTTGCTGAACCACCGATCGCAAGGCTTGCACCAGACCATATTGGACAGGGATGAAAGGTTTTTTTTTGGCGGTTTGGTAGTTGTATTATCTTCAAAGGCTATGGCTTGCTTGAAAAAGAAGGAGATGGACTTCCAAGTAACATGGAATGAAATGAAAGGTACGAGTATAAAACATTGAAACCTCTGAGCTTGATTGATTGATTTCATTTATGTCCATCTTCAGTCTAAGACTATATAGGATAACTAGACCTCTAGAGACTCTAGCGAATAACTTTTTATTCTACAAAAATAAATATATACAATTTAGGGAAGTAAAAATAAATGCTGAAAAACAATGCCCGCTTATTATATATATTATATATAATAAGAAAATTATGAAAATTAAGAAATTATAAAGAAATCAAAGCCCTCTCTTATTTCTTTAATTACTTCTTTTTTATTTTCTTTTTCTTTCTCCTCTTCTATTACTATTTTTTTCTTTATCTTATCTTATATAAAAACTCTAGCTGTGAAGGACTGTCATAAAAGGATTCAATTCTACCTTAGAATCTAAAACTAAAGAAGGAAGAAAAGAATAAGAAGAGAACTGTAAGGGCTCCGGACTATATACACCAATGAGTCACGTGCTAGGCTAAGGTCCTAGAAGCTAAGTGACTGAGAAAGGAACCTGAAAGGGACTGAATCGTCACATTACCCCCCCGTCTGAAAAAAGCTCGCCCTCGAGCGCTTATCCATCTCCTTATCTCCAACAACATCATCATACTCATCATCACCATCTTCGTAGTGTTTCAGCCATTGAGGTAGTGCCTTAGGCGGGCCGGGAAGGTCTTGATTGGCCAGGTGATACTCTTTGAGTTTGTGAGGAGAGTATTTGAAGTTATCAGCAGCGTACCAGGTAAGGTCAATATCGTAATTACGCCATTGTACTCGGTAGTAAATACTATTACGAGTGCTCTTCGAAGCTATGATTTGTTCGATTTCCCATTCTTCTTCACCAGTAATGTTGATTGGAGGGTCAGGATCGTTCACTTGACCAGGAAGAGGGTCATTCGCAGCTTTTCGTAGCTTTTCAGCTGGGAATGTATCGAAAATTTTCATTGTATCTGGTAGCGCTAGCTTGAAGGAATGCCCTACCTTTTCGACAATAAGGAACTTGCCGTTTATTGGAAAATCTAGCTTTCTTGAAGGGCGCTCGGTTCGGTAGTATCGCATATCAAGCCACACAAAATCGCCTACTTTGAAATCGACAGGTCGTCGATGCGCGTTAGTCTTGAGCTGGGCTCTTTCTTGAGCGTCTGTAAGGTGTTTTGTGGCGAGTTTCCACGCGTCGTGGTGTCGTTGAGCTACAATGCGGGCTTCGTCTACACTGAGCTTGTCCTTGGTTTCGGTGTTATGGAACTTCCAATCCCAAGAGGTTCGTGGGGGATAGCCGTGTACGACTTCAAATGGAGAAATACCACCAAGAGAATCGTGAGGTAAGATGAGCTGTGCGTAATCCATCATCGGTAAGAGCTCTGACCAATTATCTTGATAATAGGAAACGAAGGGTCGGAGTCTCTTTTGAAGGTACTGATTATAGATCTCAGTTTGTCCATCAGTTTGAGGGTGATCCGTAGTTGAATAGCTAGTATTAGTACCTAGAATCTTTTGAAATTCTTTCCAAAAACTTGATATGAATTGGGATCCACGATCGGATATTATGGAAAGAGGAGGACCGAAATAGCGATAAATATGATAAATATATAATTTGGCTGCTGTAATTGACTCGATCGTCTTTTTGCAAGGGATGGAGATAGCTTGTTTGCTAAATCGATCGATAATAACAAATACATTGTCATATCCATATTTGTCTTTGTTGAAGCTACAATAGTCCATAGTAATATGTTCCCAGGGTCGGCTTGGTATTGGCAATGGGTGTAGCAAGCCAGGGGTTTTGTCTCGGGGGACATTTATTCTGCGACAAGTATTGCAATTTCGACAGTATTGAGCTATTGTTTGAGAGATTCCTCGCCAGTAATAGCGATCGGTTAATAACTTCAGGGTTTTTCGGATGCCTGGATGTGCGGTAGAGATATTATCGTGGGCTTCTCGGATTAAGAGGGTGCGAAGGTTATCTGTATCAGGAACCACTAGTTTGTCTTTATATAATAGCAGTCCATCTTCGAGGCTAAAGTGATTATCGTCTTTCTGCGCTTGTTTCCGCAAGGCTTCCAAAGAAGGAGTATAGCGATTAGCGAGTAGAATACGATCGATAATCCGTAGAGCTGGGAAAATCGGAGCTAGGTCTAGGGTTCGGATAAGAGCTTCTTCGGCAGGATCTGGTCGAAGCTCGCGAGCCAGGATAAGAGGATCGATTTGATCGTCTTTCAGGAGTTGCTGGCGGCGTTGCAACTTTTTCTTTTGATTTTGGTCATCGAGTTCGTCGGTGCGGCGGGTAAGAGCGTCGGCTAATGGATTGTCTTTTCCTGGACGATAGCATATTACAAAATTGTAGTCGGCCAGGAGTTCGGCCCATCGTGCTTGCCGGGAGTTTAAGGCTTTCGTAGTCATAAAATAGACTAGTGCTTTGTGGTCGGTATAGACACGAATCTGGTGTGGTGTACTAGTGAGTTCAGCACGCCAATATCCAAAGGACTTCACAATAGAGAGCATCTCTTTATCGTGGACTTCGTAATTAAGTTCAGCAGGAGCCATAGTTTTCGAATAGAATCCTACGGGTAGCCAGTCTTCGCCATGCTTTTGCGAGAGAACACTCGCCACTACTCCATCTGAGGCATCTGTTTCCAGCATACATTCAAGGTCTTGTCGATAGTGCTGTAGAACAGGAGAGGAGGTAAGAGAGTCCTTAAGAGCATCAAAAGCGCGTATACAGTCGTCATCGAATCGGAAGGGGACGTTATTTTTGGTCAGATTGATCAAAGGTTTGGCTAATATACCAAAGTTGCGTATGAATCGGCGGTAGAAATTACAAAATCCTAAAAAGGACTGGATTCCTTTAACTGTAGTCGGATACGCCCAATTGCGTATAACAGCAACTTTCTCAGGATCTACTTCAACTCCTTCTGTGGAGATTATAAAGCCAAGGTATTTAGTACGAGTGATACTAAATTCGCTCTTCTTTAGATCGGCTTGAAGACCAGCGTCTCTTAAGCGTTGTAAGACCTTTTTCACATGGATCTGATGTTCCAAAGGATCTGAAGAGTAAATCAAGATATCGTCCAAATAGGCTGTACAGAAGTCATCGAGGTAATCGAAGAGAACGTCATTCATATAACGTTGATAGGTAGCAGGACCATTGGTTAGGCCAAAAGGAAGAACACGGCACTTGTAGGCTCCATAGCGCGTACGGAAAGTCGTATATTCTTCGGATTGAGGGTCCATTCTAATTCGATGGAATGCTTGACGGATATCGAGTTTGGTGAAAATCTTAGCGTCAGTAAGGCGGCCAAGGATTTCGTCAATCAAAGGGAGAGGGTATCGATCCTTTCGGGTAAGAGCGTTCAGTACGCGAAAATCGATACAGAGTCGAAGACTTCCATCTGCTTTTCTCACAAAGAGGATAGGGGCTGCAAACGGAGCTTGACTAGGTTCAATAAAGCCTTTATGAAGGTTATCAGTGATATACTTCTTGACTGTTTCGAGCTCTTCAAGAGACATCTTATAAAGAGGGCTGTATTTGAGAGCTTTTTCACCATCACCTTCAAGGGTAATCTTATGGTCGTATAATCGATGTGGTGGTAGTATATCCGATTCGGCTTTCGAGAACACGTCGGCATAGTCTTCATATTCTGGTGGAATGGAAGGTTCTGCGTCCAGCGCAGATAATGAGGCTAGTAACGAGTGTGCAGCTGTACGGCGTTGCAATAGGCTAGAACGAAGGTCTTGCAATGCAGTATCAACTAATTTGGTTGATCTTTCCTCTTCAGAGCGTTGATCGATTAATTCGCTAATTTCGTGGAAAGAGCTAATGAATAATTCATCGTTTTGTCGGCGTATACAGGTCAAATGGAATGCAGGGCCTGTAATGAGAGCAATTCGATTAGGCGCTTTGGAGCTATCTGAGGAATGCGGGGTAGAAAAGCGCCTTTTACGAGGTGTAGGTATAGGTGAATTATCCTTTAAGACTTCGTATGATAGATCCTTCAGAATTTCGTTCATTCGCTTGATGCTTCTGGTTATTGATTTCTTGAAAGTGTTGCCAGTAGTAGTCAGAATCGAGGATATCTCCTTTGAGGTCTTTTCGAAGTTCTCTTTTAAAGGTTTCAAGACTTTGGAGCTTTCTTGAGGAGGAACTTCTAATGCTTGGATATCAGGGGATATATTGGATTCTGTTGAATTGTCCGAAAGGGTGATTTCATAATCAGAATTAACTTGTGAAATTAGGTTCGAAGAATAATGTATATTATTAAGAATAGGGGATTTTCGTCTTCTCCAATATTGATCTAACTTTCGATCTCTTCGCTCAGCGTCTAATTGCATCGCTGAATCTAGAGGCTTAGGTTTGAGGTCTTCCCAAGAGAGAATACGATTGGAAGCGAAAGAAAGAGTTGGAGGATAAGAACGGGGCCAAAGCAGTTTCTGCTTCTTGCAATCAAGAAGGAGGGAATGCTCAGCTAGCCATTGTCGTCCTAGAATAACACCATTGTTCTGAAGAGTAGTAATCAGAAAAGGAGTGTATGATTGAATACGTTTATCAATCGTAAGTGTAAAACGAGTGTAATGAGTAATTTGTTTACCTGCAGTGCCATTATACCCTTTGACAGGTATTGGAGCGGGTAGTTTAGCAACAAAGATAGTGAATACCGAGGAGATTTGTCGTAGAAGGGCTTCGTCAATAAATGCATAGCCATTAGCTCCGGAGTCAATAAGGGCTTGAACTTGAAAAGCAGTTCCTTGCTTCGAAATCGTGCAAGGAATAGTCATATGAGGACCTCCCATTAGCTTTCGTAGATCAAGGTATCTCATATCTCTCAGATGCTCTAGAAGGGAGACTTTTCCTAGAGTTCGTCTTTTGGGGGCTTTGTATTTATTACTTCTTC